CCAAACAAAAGTGTTGTACCCGTAGAATAAATAAATGCCAGCACAAGAGATTCGGGATAGGGACATAACAATCCAGGTCTCCGGAGTCTGGGGAAATGGAGAGTAACCATGGAAACACCTCTCGCGGTGCATAGCTTTAGATCCGCTGCAGCCCTGCAGAAGATACTCGGCGTGCGTATCGCTCAGTAGTCCCTTTTAATCTGTTTTAACATCGCCGTTTTAGCAGATAATGAAAATAAAAGTCAGTAGCATCCAAGTAAATCCGGCGAAATTGGAAATTTACTAGGTACGCCAATACGGATTATATATCCATGGAAACGCCGCTTTTAACGATTTATTTTTTGCATGTGATGCTATATTTTTACATGTAGGAAACCGTTTCGTAAACATTTCATCAAGACAATTTTGCCTGATGTGAAGCTAAATTGAGAATGTTCACGAGCTTTTTTTTGGTGTAACAGGTACTGGTGTAAATACACATTATAATAAATCAAGAAGCTATTAAAAATAACAAGACTGAAAAATTGAAGTAACTTTTTTCAAATATCAAGATAATAATGCAATCGAATAACAATAACGTGAACGCGAAGCCGACTTGTCCGACGTCGAAAGCACCTCACAACCGAACTACTCCTGTTATTATTGTTTCGAGCACTTTCCTTCGGAACTCACCTCATTACGAAAGTCTCAAGCCTCCTGGTTATGTTATAATTGCTCGGCAGCTGCACGAAAACAAAAGCTCTGAAGAGGACTCCACTAGAGCTAAGTAGTCATTCACGGTGCTCCTGGCCGTATTTATAAACGATTAATAGATTTTATCGAAAATGCTTCAGAGTGCACTGATTATTGTGCATTCGCAAAGAAAACAAACAAACCGGGACGCTATTGGCTTGCTAGTTCAGGGTCGGAATGAATACTTGAAATCCTTTATTACATTTCCTGACTAAACCATAATACCCACACCAACATAACTGCAATTGGATAAAAAATAAATAAGCTAGCATACGGGGAAATTTTGTCGTAGAATTTAATTAAAATAGAAATAATGACAAGGTTATTATCTAATCTTTGGGTTAATCAGGACTAATACCATTCCTTCATCAGCATTTTCTCCTTCTCGGTTTATAAGATTTATTATTTACTCTACTAAATTTGATCATTCCCATTTTGATTAATCTGGATAAGCAGTTAAAATGATAAATGCAACATTAATAATAAAGTAAGAACGCTGACAAGACATTAGCGACCATTTTTTATCGATTCCGTTCCTGTCTTAAATAAGAAATTGACCACGGAAATGCCTGTTAAAGAGCTCTATTATTACGGGTCATAAAACCTTGCTTAACTGAGTCGTTGAATAACCATTTTCTATTCATACAATCGGATTGCTTGATTTTTACTAAACCAATCGTTTCTCAATAAAACTTTAAAGCTAACTTTCTTATTTTTTATTAATAGTCAATCTTTATTATCTAATCAATCCATCATTTTAGTCAAGCTTTCTTGAAAAAGTAATTATTGATTGCAAGATTTATACCTGCACAAATTATTTTAACGCCTCTTAGTGTATACGGTGATGTTGGTAACATCTCGAAATAATCTTCTTTATTAGGTCGTAACATGTTTCTCTTCACGATCTCACAGCGTTCCCTGTTAATGTTGACATACTTATTCTAATATTGTGTAAATCCTCTTTCGACTGAGATTTTCTAAAGAGCACAAATAAGCTTAAAATAGCTGATAATTCCTGTTAATATGTCCATACGAAATGCATGTATACGTTTGTTAATTGACATGTGTCCCTGCCTGAAGTATAATCTACTTCAGAGACATATAGAAAATTTGAAAAGATTATTTTGAATATTTCGTGGATAATTTTGGCTTTAAAACTACTTATTTCGTACAAAACCAACAAAAATTGTAATCATCAATACTGATCAACTTTTCGTTTCTTTGGCGAGCCGCATTATGTTGGAAAGTTTTCCAATTACTTCTCGTCAATGTTTCACCATGATAAATCATAACTATCGAACAAATCCATTTCCCTCGGCCGGTGTAGAATACAAACGAAACAAAAAAAAGTAATTAAAACTTCTTATTAGAAAGTAAGATGTCAGCCGTCCCGCGAACGCACCGTAATCACCGTGGAAAATGTATTCTTCGTGGCGGAAAATAAGTATTCACGCTCCGAAGCCCGCGAACCTTTTGTAATTGGCTACCAGAAAAGGAAACGTCGGAAAACCCGGGAGTATACGGCTTTGCCGAAAAAAATGAAATTACATCGGCTATTTTTCAAATGAAACGTCGGAAACGCACATCACAATTTCCACCGAGCGAACAATGTTATAAAAAAACGTTTTTTAAAACGGGGCTGGTTAAAAAATATCGGTCGATTTGATTTAGTTTAGAAAAATTATTATGTATGCATTTTTTTAAGTGAAAGTAACAAAACTTACACAGTAATAACAGTAAATTCCGTTGGTTAACTTTACTATAAGTTTGCGGAAAAGCGCATTTTTCCTCGCCGTCAATGCGAATATCTATTAAATCGGACAAAGAGCCTGTCTCTTATTTTAAAATGGAATAATCCGCGTCCTCCTGTGCGCCAGTGCCCGGATCTCGTCAGAGCTCGTTCTGCGAAATGGCCTCTCCAAGATATATCTCCATGGTCCTCTGGAGGCCGATCACGGAGCCAAACTGGAGATTGCCGTCACCGGAAGCATCGATGGAGAAATTGGAACTGGACGTGCGGAAAAACAAAGCCCTTGATTTATTGGATAAGATGTTTTCCGTGTCATTTTCGTTGCCAGACACGCTGGAAATTATGTACAATCGAAGTAGAAAAAAAAGTAAAACTCCCTTCTTTAATTTGTCAGTGCCGCAGAGTGAAAAGTTTCTTGGAAACTGTGTTTTCCGGTTCATTTGATGTGAAATATCCTTCCTAATTTTTGAACGAACATCCTGCATTGCTGCAGTTAGTTCAGTTTACGGCGTTTTTTTTCGCTTCTAACACGATTTGACTAAACCAATTATTTTAATTGTATTCGTTATTTTATACTTTAAAGCAACTTTTTATCCATTCAATAACCTCTTTGTACCTAACGATGCCAATTATTATATCCACTTTCGCCTCTCGGGATTTTCAGTTCAATCTTTCCTAACAGCCCAAATTGTTTGTATTCCGCTTTGTCGGGGTGTTTCTCAATTAACGTAACGTCTTACCTCTTTTGTGTCTGTGTCACCAGTCGCTTTCGGTAAATGTTTTTAATTTTCATTTCGTTGTTGCCGGAAGATCGTCATCTAACGATCACGGTATTTTTCATCAAGCCCGCAGATGAGCCTCGTTTTCCCGAAGATTATCCCGGTCGGAAAACGCCGCTTGCTGTGCACCTAGTTCGATCCGGCGTGTAATGAGGCTCCTTCTTCAGCTTAAAAACAGACAGTTCGAGGGCGGGTTTAAATAAATTTGCATAAATGTTTATTTATTTCCGATGAATTTTCAATTCTCGTCGAGGATGCTCATTTTTTAACACAAAGTGAATATTTCTGAGGATTTTCTTGTAGTGCAGAAGATGTATCTTACTGTAAATACCCCTTGAAGATCCTTTTATTCGTTAGCATCGTCCTTCCTGAAAGTTCTAGTAACCATAAATTAGGTTAATGATCCTTTTTTTATTGTTATTTTCGTGTCCTCGTGGTTGACCCGCATAAAAGCGGGAACTACGAAGCACTAAAACGAGGAAAAGGTTGCGAAACAAACCGGCGAAATGGAAATCTCCTTGTTAATTTAACCAGCAGAAGATAAAGGTGTCGCACTGTCCCGAATTTCGTTTAAATTTAAACTCCCGTGAAACCGGAGTTATATTGTTGCTAATCGAAGCCAACTGCATTTTCTACTTAGAGAATTTCGTCGATACGTAATTAATCAGTTCCTTAGAGTTAGGACATTCTAATCTGGGTCGTCATCACTCGCGTTGTCAATTAATCCTTGAAACTTTGGAAGGCGAACTTTCCACAGGTGATAACTAACAGTTGAGAACGACGATTATATGGGATGAGTCATTTATCAGCGCATTAATTAATGGATTTTGGGATAGTGCTCTGTTATGTCGAAGAGAGTGTACGGAATATCCAGCATTTAACACCTTATTAATCTGTTAAAATTGTTTTTGACACTTTAGATACCATTATAGAGAAAAATTCTCATCTGATTCAAAGTGAGATTTAATTAACTTATCAATTCAAGCAGCAAACGGTACAAATTCGAAGAGTTTCATCGACATATAAATCGTTAGGGATTCCTGCTGTTAGGAAAATCGTTGCAGGGAATGTCGTATGCGACATTCACCATTTTCTTGTCTCAGCGGAAAAAAATCTATTGTATGAAAATGAAATCCGAGACCGAAGATTTCTATTTTCTAGAAAGTGTATCAGCAACTCGAAGACTAAGGCGTAAGCCATCAAGTGATGGAAATTGCATTACGGAGGGTCGCGCAGAAAATGTAATTTCCTTCAGACGCCTCGAAGATTTCGTACGGGCCTTATCTCGGAACGCTTCATGTGAATATTTAATTTGTTTTATTAAAGTGAGTTGTTTCCTTTGTTGTGCCTAAGTAAATGAATTAATAGATGGCCTTAACGTTTTGAGCTCGAAATACTTTAAATGAATTATGCTCGGATGGCTTTTTTGCGCTTTCGGAGATTAAACTTTATTTTGGCGAGGAAAGTTTCGACTTCAGGACGTGTTATCGCTAACGGTTCTTCACGAGATGGATTTTGATGAATTTAGACGAAATAGCCTACAGGCTGTGTTAAGTTTGTTTTCCAAAGTACAAAAACAAACGTTTTTTTTTATTAAAGAAACAAATACTTAAGACAGTAGTCGATTTATAACTTTAATCAATAATTAATTTTACGTACAAAGTTCTCATACTAGGTAAAAAAACATGTTTGTTAATTAAGTAAATAAATTTATTAAATTTATCAACAAATAATTGTATCTAATAGGTAAAAAAAGTATCCAAAATTATTGAATTAGGAACGTTTAAGTAAAACCGCATTAGCTATGCTAATAAGCAAATTAATAAAGCAATGATCGAATCGGTTTTCTTGTGCGATTCGAGGACGCGGGCCATGAAATTGATACGAATGAAAATTTCGTCTCCGCCTGTGAAAGCTAATTAATTTTAACTATGTGCGTCTCGCGTTATAGGTTATTCGTCGACGTGCTTATATTTATACATCGACTCGACTATAAATCCTTGTTTCGTCGCTGTTATAAAATGTTTTATTGTCTGCATTCTTTGACTTCTCGTTGTCCTACCGGCAGAGTCGGTCTGAAATTTCTCTTTACGAATCCATCGTATTCGTCGCAATATTTTTCTTCCTTGCAGAAGGATTTCAAATTTCTGAAGGCTTCCAGCTTGAACAAAAAAAAATACAAATAATTAGGACATTGCTATTCGTAAAAAGAGAGTGTAAAGATTCATTATTTATGAGCTTTTATAAAATCATTACATATCTTTAACTTGTGCTAATAAATTATTAAGAGTAATTAAAATTTTGGCAGTATAAATTTTGAATTGAAGCTGGGAAGACACCTAAACAAGACTTTCCTAAAACTGAAACATCACTATGTAGTTAGCTATACCAGAAAGTCGAGTTTTTAAAGTTTTCTAAAAGAGGGCGCTCTGCACCAAGCTGTAGGGAGCCATTTTTATAGTATAGCTTTTATTGACAAAATTAACAAAAAGTTATATTAAAAATGCAAAGATTTTATCGAGAGAAGCATTAAACTTTGCCTCCAATTTACGTTATCTTTAATAAGTTTGAATCATGTTCTAAAAATTTTTTCTTGTTAGGGTTAATCAAAAGTGCAAATTCATATTAAATAAACAGATTGTCGATTTTGCTCGTACTCTTTTTCAAAATCTCTGACGTGGAAACATTATTTAATCAGTTTAATTATTTCAGTGGATTTTGCGCAGTATGAAAAGTGTCGCTGACATTGAGTAAATAGCACAAATCCAAAATACAACGGTAAAAGTCATTGTGCAAGTTAACATAACACATTATTTTTAAAACAATTCTAGTTTAAATGCCTTCTAAGATTCCTACCATGACTACTTGAAATCATTTCAGTTCACTCCATTTTTTCTATTTTCAGCCAAAACTGCCTAAAGAATTTAATTCGGTTCAAGGTTATTTATGCCCAAAATGTTGGTCAAATGAACGTAATGACTTTGTATGCAACTTGCGCTTTTAGCAAGTAGCAAAAATATTTATGTAAAATGGAAAACTGATGAAATTAAGCATGCCAGTTATTGTACCTGTTCTGTTGATACTTCAACGGGTTCTTTAAAAATTATCCAGACAACACATTCCAAGCAAGGAGGTGTGGTGAGAGATCCGTGATAAGTGTAGTATCCAGAGTTTTCTGGAAGAAAATTACTGGGATCAACCGATTCCAGTATCCTGCAACATTGGTTCTTGTACTGAATTTTGTTTAGTTGCCTCACGACTTTATCTAATTCTTCGTGTTTTTTGCCGGGCTGTGAAAAATCACCAAATAAGTAATTATTGTCTAAATTGCGCAAGTATTTCAATTTGGGTAACGATTTTTTAAGTATTGTCGTTTTATCGGTGTTTATTTTGTAATAACAGCGTATCGAAAGGATTGTTAATTAGTTGCGCTGTATAAAATCCACCGTGAATAATTGATTTTTTGAAAAAAAAAAGTAATTATCGTATTCATTGAAGTAAAAAATTGGAACAGGCGCCTACCTTTAAAAACACTCCTAGTACGCACAATCCGTCAGGATTTCTCGCTGCTTCCTCAATGGAGGAATATTTTGCAGAATTCCAGTGCACCAGATGGAGCTAAAAATTTGAATAAAATTAGTTACACGTATTATTTAAAAGTTCTGAAACTTACTTCACCAGCAAAATGTTGACCGTTTATCGTATGTTCTGAGCCTTTATCATTGGATTCCCCCCAGTGGCAGTGGAACTGGTTTAACACGTATTCGTATAGAAGCGGCCCTCCGGCTAATTCTGAAAAAACACCAATTCCAAGAAATAATTTGAACGGGAAGAAAATTTTAAAATAGGCATTGTAATTGGGTTGCAACCGATAAAAGCGACGAAATTTATTGGATTTATTCTGTTTTTTAATGGATTAATCTACGGACTTCAAGTTTACTTTACAGCTAAAATTTTATTAGAATCCTTATTTCAAAAATACTGGAGATATTTTTAGAACGCGCTAATAATATAATTTTGTAAATCATTCTTTTTGGAAATGTAAATCGTTGAGGTATAGCGAATAAAACTCCACCTTCTCTCGAATTTTGATTAAATATTTACAATTTACAAACTGAACGTATAGGAAATAATTAAAGTAAAATTAGTTACCCAAACATCCAAAAATAATCTATTTCAAATCGTGCTATTAATTTTTATGAGGATTAAGTTTAGTAATTTTTTTTGATATTGGAATTTACCTGCAACGTAAGATTCACATCTGATGGATATTACCTGATCCTTTCCCTTTAACATCAACCTTCCAGTTGGCACCGGTGTTGGAAATTTCGGCCAAATTTTCGGTTTCGTATTTCCAATGTAATTTCTTGTTGGTGTTTAAGATTTTCACGTCTACGGGTTTAATGTCGATGGGACTTTGGCGTTCACCAGCCGCGTCAGGAAAATGGGATGTCCATGTTTGGGGACCTTAAATTAATTTGTCACTGCTTTAATATTATATACTTTGTTGTTGATATTTTAATTATAAATTTGATAAATACTGCATTATCCAAAATCAATAAACGGCTTGCTGAAATAAATACGTTTGATATCCAGAAATACACCAAAGGTTTTAAGTAAAAATAGCCTTTATCACAGCATACATCCGAAAATAATAAAATACTGATATTTAAAAATATCTCAAAGTAAATTAACGAGTAAGATAAATTTTCAAAGTCAAATTGATAAGTTAACTATTTACTACGACTAATTAACTACTATACAACTGGAAAAGTTACGTGAAATAAAAAAGAAAATATTAAGGCCTGTGATAAAAATTGTTAAAACTAATCAAGAGATTTGAGAATTACCGAATATAAGATTAAACCAGTTCCGATTAATCGTAAAAAATATTAACAAGAGTTAATTTTGTAAACAACAAAATTAAGGACACGTTAATTAGAGGAAATTTTCAACCAAAACAACTTTTTCTTTTGGTAGTCTTTAGAAGACAAAATTGTTATTCTGTTCAGATATTTATGCATGCAGCTATTGAAAAGTTGAAAAAAACCCAGTGCATGGGTTTCTCCCTAGTTCTAATAGACTATAAATTTATGCATTGATTCGCTTATTTGAATAAAAAATAATAAATATTATTAATTATAGTATACAATAGGTACTAAAGTTTCGGTAGCACTGACTCGCGTGATAGCAAAACAATTTTAGATAAATTCTCCGCGTGATCCGGCCACTACAACAAATTGTTATGAATGGATTTCATGTGACTTTAATGATCGCAGTAATCGAGTATTGGTTTAAAAAACTCCACAGATTTGTATGAGTAAGAAGTAGATTTAATTGTTTCATTAGCCATAGCGCTAACAATGAGCAGTTAATGGCTTTTTAAATCGTATGGTGCCTTAAATAATGGTGCTGCCTGTGGTTACAAAAATATTATCAGTTTTTCAATTTACGTAATCTTACCATGCGACGTTTAAAATAGCAATTATTATTTGTTTTTGTATCGAATTGGTAGTAACGATAAGAAAATTACAGAGTAGAGTTTTCCTCTTTTCTTTTGACTTGCAGTTGAAAATTGGTTTTAATGAAGGAAGATTAATAGAAAAGTACTGCATTTTTAAGAAAACCAATTTAGATACAATTAGCGAATTGGTGATAATAAAATGTGCATTCGAACAATTTTAATTTGGCGGACGCACAAAATATAGCTTAGGTATCTATTAGATTAATAAGTTAGATTCGCTAATTTTTTTTTATTACTTTTGTTGCCAAATGCAAAGTTTTATTATTCATAAACGTGATAATTTAAGTCATGTTATCGATGTTATCGCTTTTATTTAATAACAGTGATTGAAATAAAAATTTAGTTAATCGATATTTAAACGCATAAGGAGAGAAATAAATTGGAGTTTCGTCGAATTAACTATAGGTATTTATATAAACCAGAAAAATTATGTTCATTTATCTGAATTACACAAATAAGACTTTATTAATAAAACTCATCAGTTTGATAGATCAAATTAGCAGAGTCTGCGAATTATGAATACTTGAAAAATAGTAATATCCAATTAATTTTAAATCATTAATTACTAAAGATAATGGTGGAGTATCTTGAAAAAAGTAAGCAAATAATTAAAATACTATAAGAAATGTACAGAACTAAATGGAATTGGTGCTGAAAGTGATGACAAAACTGTTATTTCAAGACATTATCAAATTCATAATCCACCAGATATTTAAAAATGTTCAATCATATCGGCCCAAGAAAAAATCAGTATCAATCATTAACAGATATGCTGACAATGCCTTTGAAATGTAGTTAAGGTCACTTGAGGAACGAGGTCATCGCGGGCAACAATCTCAAGGTCATGTCAAAACCAGTATATTTCAACAAAACAATTTTCTTTTTTTGCTGAATTTTTAATGAAGTCCTCTCCTAATGTCTTCTCAGAATAATTTATTGTTTAATTACTCTATATGCACACCAGTATAATTTAAATAAAATGTGGAGGTAATTATTCTACAAGGTGTAAAATTAAATACTGTTGGCTGAAATGTATAATCTAAAACTGGCATAAAATGTTATTTCATCAATTAATTTTACTTCGCCAATATTTTTTTTAATTTCTCGAAATTAATTTTGTAAAAAATTGGCGTTCTGTCAACCGCATTCATTACCCGTATTTCCCTAGTAAATAATAGTCCCACAACAGTTTTTAATCAATGTAATTCAAAGAAAAGTTACGTAAGATGTAACGAGGCATTAAGGAAAATTAGATACACATTTTTCCATAAATTATGGTAATTTTATTTACATTATTCCGAATTACTTATACAAAAATTTAGTTAGATTGCACCGATTTTCCCCAAGTTCGCAGGCGTAAAATAACCACTTTCGTTATGTAAACAAAATATTGTTCTCTAGCACGGGTTGCATTTTTCTAATTTTTTTGCTTATATTTCATGAAATTCCAAAATGCTATTAATTACAACAAATATTAGAAGATAACTCACATGTTTGACCCGACCTTACATTAGAATAATTAATTTACGCTCCAAATTTCCATACAATTGCTTATAGTTAGTGTTTATTTAAATTTGTAATGCAGGATTTTTAAATGAGCTGATAATGTTTATGGCCTTTTGTAAAGTATAAATAAAAAGTACCCTATACAGGGTGTTATAGGTAAAGTAGATATTCTAAATTAAATTTTAAAGGTGCTGATTACATTTGAAATTTAAAATTTTTTATTTGTACACCCTATATATTTTCAAGGTTCGTTGTTATAAAAAAATTTAAATAATGTTATTGATGCTTACCATTTTTCGATCCATAACCCCAGTCGAGTGTCATGCTGCGAAGAAAAAAACATGAAAATTAATCATTGTAAATGCTTGCTTGTTAATTGCATTGGCAATTATGTCTAACTACTTCTTCTCTGGTGAAGTATTTAATAATGACTTTAGTGTATAAATAAAATAAATTTTTATTTATTTTTTTCATTTCAATGCTTGGTTATGTAACAATTAAATTAATAGCAAAAAGAGTTGGGATTGAGTGGATGCCACGTGCCTTAAAAATTTGTAAATTGCATGTTGAATTTTTATTAGCGGGCTTTTTTCAATTACCTACTAATTAAAATGTATGTTGTCAATCATGTTGATAATATAAAATTTTTGTTGCATACACTTGTTTGGCAATTTGCCATTGGTCATTTAGACGCCATGCTCAAAATTATAAAATAAAACGGAAAATATAGGGCACATTAAACGTGAAATTTAAGAAAATTTTACTTTTCTACATAATGATAATTCCTTTTGCCAAAATAAATCTGATCATAAATATTTTTTAATATATTGTGTATGAATTTATAGTGCAATGGCTGTTTCACACTGTATCACATAAATATGCATTTCGATTACCAGCGATGATTTTTATAATTAAAGTTTTAATTAGTGTTATTAAATGACACGTGTGTACAGTTAAATACAACTACTAGTAGTTTTGTCTGTAGTAAACTTTAATGCAACAAATGTTACACTTTTATGTGAAAGTTACAACAATTTCTCTCCTAGGAAAGTAATTAATTGGATGACACTCTTTATTTACACTATGGAATAACGATAAAATTCGTTAACTCGAGCTATTAAATACTAGATACCTTTTATTTTGATAATTAAAAGTAAACCAAACTATAATAGTAAATATAAATAGGAAAGAAAAATAAAGTAAATAACAACAAAAGGTACAATATGTAAATGCAAATTCCCAGACATGCATAATTTACAATAAGAAACAAATCTTACCTTCGTGTATACCGATGAACCGGATTGCACAATAATTACAAAGAAGGTTTATGAAACGACCTCACAGGTGAGCGATCACTTAAAGAAAAGCTTCTCTGCGCGTCTCCGGCCGGCTTCAAGATGTGTGAGTTGTTGTGTATAAATATCATCGAACTTTAAAGTGTGTTGTGTTGTTACCGAACTGACCAACTTATTCTCCCCACTTTGCCATTACCAGCAGTTTACGCGACTCCGATACAACGCGAGAAATATAAATAAATAATCGGGGAGATTGTTGTGGAGACTTCAAGACGACGTATGAATGAATATACGTGTAGTTGTCTCATTATCACATATCACAAATGAAGCTTGTTAAAGCTTTGCATAATGCTGCATGTTGTCTGTAAAAAATCAGCGGTGTCATATCTTTGATGAGAATATTGCTTTGTAATTCTAGGTATCCATTAGTGAGAAAAACTCTCGAGGGCGGCTCTCGAGAGTAGTTATCGCGAGTGGATAATGTTGTTAGAGTAACTATTTGATAGTTAATGATTACTCTCCATGAGCTAGCATGTCGCGAGTTGTTGTCAAGTCGACACATCGTTTTTGGTACTATCGAGGGTAACTAGAAAATTTCAAATGAAATCAGTATTCTGAGAATGCTCTCAAATAATAATTGAAAACTTATGTTACCAACAATAGTTTGTCCAATTTGTTTTTATAATGATTATCAGTTTTTTTAATCTTTTTAAGAATACTTACTTATAATCAACATCCTTTACTCGTTACTAACTAGTGGGCTAGCTATTTTTAATTAAAAATACACATTTCCTGTTTGTTGCAGTAGCTTTTTCTAGCTAATTAGAATTATTCAAACAATGGCCACTGATTATTATCCAGTACGCCCACATCGGTAAAGCTAAAGCGATGATTGCAAATGAAATATCTATAATTTACATGAACGAAATTAGCATTACCCAACACATAAAAACATTTTTGTTATTACAAAAACACGCTTGTTATTATTATAAATAATTCATAAAAAATTTCAATTTTTTCTTAACTTTTAATTGCCCATTCGAATTAGTAATCAATAAATTATGAAGTTTATAGTTGGTAATAACAATAAGAGATGGCTTTGAATTTTTATATGAAGATTTAATTACGCCTATGCATTATGGTGGTCCAACATAAACTTATAAGTAGAAAGAAATTCATTTCAACTCGGTTTATCGAGAGAATTATAATGGATTCCACAATACATAAATTCTGAATAAAACATGATCATTGTCATTGATAAAACCAGGGAATAGTTAAATGAATTATTTAACTACTACTTATCGTGATCATTAATTAAAACTGTCGCAATAACTTTCCCTTATTTAGATATGATCATTGTATTCAGAAGAAAATGGAATTGATGGAGCGATACTAACGGTAAAATTCGAAGGTAAAGGCAATTTTCATTTCGTGTCATGTTTTAATAACGCGTAATAATTCATTAGGAATAATCAATAGTAGGTTTTTTATGGGGATAATTGGATTGGTCAATAAGGCGACAAGGGAGCAATGTAAGATGTAAGTCTATAATAATCTAATATTAGGAGTAAGAGAACAAATTAATTACTATATTTTTGTTTCTACTATTTTTTAAATAGTCGCTCAGTTAAAATTTGGACACTAGTAATTAATTAATTACTTCCATACATGTACATTTATTATTATTATAAAATTGGTAATAATATACTAAGTTAATAATATGTAATATGTAATTACAAAAAAAATTAAGCCAGTAATTAATAAAATTTCTCGATACAAAATAAATTATTAATCTACCAGTCAATAGGAGAACTTTAATAGAACGCAACACAGAAATCTCTAATATACTTAGGCGCTCCGATATTTCAACTGTAGAACTTTTATCACTAGTTTGGGTTCTAATCGGTAGATGTCGCCACTGCAGTCGCGATTTGAAAAATATTTTTTCGCTCAAAGTAGTTATCTAGTTAACTATTAGTCCTATTAAAACTATAATTGAAGAATTTAATTTAAGGATAAAGTATAAAAATTGATAAATTTTTACAATAAACGTAAATTAGGATGTGTTACGAGCTGAAGGTATATTTTATTAGGTTTATAAAGGGTGTACATATTTTTTTATAATTTGTTGGTTTATAAATCTTAGAAAACACAAATCTGTTTGTAATTTAATTTCTGATAAAGTTTAGTTTATTTTACCACTGTGAATACAAAAATAATACTACATTCAAGAATAATTAATTTTTAGTTAATTAATACGAATTTCAAAGGATTTAGAAAACAGGCTTGGTTCCGTTCGAATTGAGCTGTTTAGGCTCTTTTTATTCCAGTATAATAAGGCATCGGCTTTTTCCCGTTGGAGAACAAAAAATAAATTTCGGCAACTAACAACGAATTCCTGCGAAGTCTAAAGAATGCAAATCTAGTATTTTTTTACCCTAACGAATCCACCCTCGCTTTTTTTCACCCTCAAGTCAATTTGCGACGATCCAAGCAAAGGACGGGCGCTTCGTCGCAGAGAAACCCGAACCGGGCCGGTTATTAAACTCGCTGGTCGACTGCGATCTTCCCTAACTTGAAAAAAAATCTATAATGGTGTATATGTGTATATAAGATATGCTAGTTAGAGGCGAACGAAAAGAAGTTTTGATTGCTTCATTCGGATGCAAAATATCATTCTCCTTCTGAATTTTTATGTATTTTTAAATGTTGCCGGCTTTGGGCGAGGTTCCTTAGGCTTTCCTAATTAACTTTGGCGAATGCATAATTCAGCAGAGTTTTATTAGGAGCTTGCATTAAAAATTTACTTTAGAACTCCAGAGGAGTTGATTTGATTATATTTTTAATTTTCCTGTATACAGAATGAAATTGTGCAACCCACACTTTTTTTTAACTACTAAGGATACTGAAGAATTTCTAATACTACAACATTGTTTAGTCTTCAAAATGTTGAATATCCTCGTACTCTTTAGGTTCAAGTAAATTTAATTAGCATCAAAATATCATAAAATTTTTAAATTTAACGCAAGAAAGTTTTGTAAGTACCCAGGTATATGAAACGTAGAAAAAATATGATAATAAAAATGTGATATTAAATTTTTTTCGCCAAACAATCGAGATTAAAATCAACTTTAAAATAACGTACTTTTAATGGCGCGCCTCGACGACGTTTCGTGTCTGCGAGATTAACATTAACGCTGCTTCCCGTAATAAATAAAAAGTTTTAATGAAAAGCGTTTTCATTAAAGAGCCGGGCATCGCGCACAGTTTCTCATCTAAATTTGAGAAATATGACGACATTACGGTACAAAAGAAAAGTCGTTAGTTGTAAATGTGTAACACGCCTAAGTCTGCGTACAAAATTTTATATCTGGAAGAACAAAACCCAATTTCTCATATTGCCTGGGGTGAAAAAAAAACGCTGGGGTGAACCGTAAGGGTACGAAAAAAATGAAGGGCGAGTATTTTTTTATTGTGTACCGTTTTCTATCGTTTGTATAAGGGGAATCAATCGATGAAATATTTTCGATTTTTGATAGTGAACACCGGTCCCTCTTTTTTTTAGTTCTTGGCCTAGGTTAGGTAGGTAGTCTGTTTTTTACCTTTCGTATGTGCAGTTGTTCGTGATTATGTGCATAAAATTTTGTTAACCCTTGCAACATAGGTAAAGTATGAAACGAAGTTTTTATTTGCTTCAAACATTTCTTGATATTTATACGTATGTATGTTTATCAAATTAATAATTGTATTTTGCATTATAGAAAGCGAAATATTACATCAGGAATGCTCTTAAAATCGATTTTTTTCGAGTAATTTTTAATTTCATTGTAGTATATTTGGATCTTTTGGAAATCCTATCTATTATAAAACAAAATTGTGGGAATCATTCTCTACAAAACTAATTTATCAACACATCTGGCAATATTAAATACCTACATATTTAATTAATATGAGTTTACAACAAATTATTATTTGATCGATAACTTTTATTGAAATGTACCCACTTACAATAGAAATATTCACCAGGAAGCAAAGGACATACCTACAGAATTATATTTCTGAAACAATCATCACAACATGGAAATAATTACTTATTATTAGTACATATATTTTTAGTAATATCAACTGTAAACTATTATTATTATTATTTTTGTATATTTTAATTAGACATCTGGATCACTCCTTCCTTTTATTAGCTGCATCACAGTTTGATTACATACCGAAATCTCCCTATAATTTTTTTTTTCTAAACCGGGACATGCATACCCAGGAACCAGAACAAAAAGAGTTTGTAATACATGTTAAATACTGGCTTACCCCATGTCAAGGTGCATCTACCATCTACTTTAAAATTAAGTCCCGCGCCCTATTGTTTTTTTATGTAGCTGAATACAACGCTTTTTTTTGCTTATATCGAATTCAATGTGTCTCAATTCGAACCCTCCGCGTAAACCTCCCCAATTAGCATAATTAATCCAGTATGGAGCAAAAAAAATGTTATAAATAAAACCACCCTCTTACCGCAGCACGAGAAGGAAAAAAACTGTTTGCGTTTGTATTTGTAACAGTACGTATGGAGCACCCTTTAGAAACGGTTATCGTCTGATCGTAATTAACCCAAAATATTATAAAAAACGCTATAGAATGGCTCCTTTATTTTGGTCACATTTAGTTTCAATTAGTTGGTGTGTTAAATGAGGGTTGGGATTTTTATTGTTTTTTTATGCGTCTGGGGGTGAGATCAATATCAGTTAAATTAAACTAATAAAAGTTTTAATAACGATTTTTTATTAGAGGATGAAAATGAATTATTTGAAAAAAAAATTCAGTTATTAGTGAATGTTTTGCATGAAAAATGTCAAACCCTGCGTCCATTTTCCGCTAAGAATAAGGACGGAAACATTTTAATATTGAAGCGAAGACGTGATGTTTTTGTTAGGTATGTATATCACAGGCGGCATCCGAGCGACCATTTTCCCTTTTCCATATTAATCCAAGGACCGGCCGTCCCTTCCGTCCCCCGCATATCTACGAATGAGCTCCGGGGGCCGAGTGAGGTGATACACATACTCCTTCTCCCACATAATTTATTCCGGGCCGTCGGGTGACGGTGAGTTTTAATAATATTTAGTTCCGATCCGGGTTCCCGGAAACGGGGGTAGGCCGGGGGCGGCGGCGG